GATAGGACCTACCAGCTGGCCAGGAGGTTTGCTCAATATTGGCCAAGTTCCTAAAGTTCTATCTTTCACCTTAAACTGAGATGACTTCTGGGATATATTTCGTATACATCTATATATGTACATGTTGTCTCCCCTTATAGTACGAAAGCATCTTGAGGGAAAACATGACTTCATTTTTGTTGTATCCCCGGGGCTTAGCACAGCACCCAGCACATATAATAGTGGCTGTTCAGTCGTTTTGTCAATCATGTCCAACTCTTCATGACCCCCATTTGGGGTTTTCTTGGCAAAAATACTGCAGCATTTCCTCCTCTGACTCATTTTATAGATGAGAAAACTGAGGCAAACATGGTTAAGTGACTTGCTCAGGGTCACACAGCTAGTACGCGTCTGAGCCCAGATTTGGACCCAGGAAGATGAGTATTCCTGATGCCAGGCCTAGCACTCTATCCACTGCACCACTTAGCTGTCCAATATAGTAAGTATTGAGTAAGACTTGAGTTCAAATAAATTCCTGTTCATTGATTGTTCTGTTTGGCTCTGGGAAGAGGGGGGCAGAAATAGGAGCAATGAGCTGGTGCTGCATAAAGGCAGATTTAGACTTAATATAAGGAAAAACCTTTGAATAATTAGATTACTGAAAAGCAGAATTGGGATCCATCAGGTTCCTTCTCACTGGAGGTCTCCAAGCAGATGATGCATGACTATTTGTTGGGCGTGACTGTTGAAGTCCTTTCTGAATCTAAGATTCTGTGATTCTTCCCCCCAGTGCTTCCTCCAGCCTCTTCCCTATTTCCAGAGACTTGTTTCAGTAACTTCTTCAGTTCTTGCCACTCTCCCTTAGGCTTACCCCATCTCTTACCTGGAGTCAAAAATGGTGCCATCCATCAGGGAGCCATTATAATGGTATCGCATGAAATCCCCTGCTACAGCTTTCCGTCCACAGTCTGGAGGCAGCAGCAGAGTCTCCAGCTGGACGCTGTCCTTGGGATTGTGGACATCAATTAGAAGGACGTGGAAAACGAGAGAAGCCTGAGGAGGGATCACAGTTCCTAGAGGGTGAAGAGAGGAATGCCCAAGGTCAAGCTCCTGAGCGCTGCTCCTCCTGTCCTCTAAGGTTTCTCTGACTACTAAGCTTGGGGGTGAATAGTTTGCATATTATTTTAAAATATTAAACATTTTAATTAACCAATATACATTTTCTTTCCTTCCCTTTCCTCCCTCCCCCACCCCCCACTCCCCAGTGGAGGGAAAAAAAGAAAAAACTCATAACAAATGTATATGTTCAACCAAAACAAAATTCTAAATTGACCATGCTTAAACAATCTCAGTCTGCATCCTGAGTTCATCATTGCTCTGTCAAGGGGTGGGTAGCATTTGCATATCATTTGTATTTCCTCAAATACTAGCTACAGGGGCAGCTGGGTGGCACCAGCACCAGCCCTGGAATCAGGAGGACCTGAGTTCAAATCCAGCCTTAGACACTTGACACTTACTAGTTGTGTGACCCTGGGCAAATCACTTAACCCCAATTGCCTGAAAAAAAAAAAGTCAAACTACAGGGAGGTCCCCTCTCATCTCCTTTCTAGTGCCTTCACTTTCCTCCTAACAGCCATCCACCTCCCCCTCCCTTGAGCCCACTGTTCTCACCATAGCCTTTCTCTCCATATGCCAGGAAGGGGGGTATGATGATCTTCCTTTTCTCTCCAGGACACATCCCCAGCAGCCCCTGGTCCATGCCCTTAATAAGCCATCCTGAGCCCACGTAAGTGTCATAAGTGCTACTCCTGCTGTAGCTATGGAGAATGAGATGTAAGAGGGATTGAGTAGGGAGAAGACTCCTGGTTCCCTGAACCATTCCCTCATCTCCCAGGCTTCACGTTCCTCAGTGCCTTCCAGGGTCTGCTGGGACCCCATTACCTGGAGTCAAAAGCTGTTCCATCCAGTAATGTGCCATTGTAGTGGTAGCGGACAAAGTCACTGTCCTGGACCATGCGGGGACAATTTGGTGGTCTAAGGAGAGTGTTCACCTGCACTGAGTCTTCCTTGTTCCATACATCCAGCAGGACAACGTCAAAGTACAGTGTGGAGTCAGGAGGGATCAGCCCAGCTGAGGAGGGGAGGCCAATCTGTTAGCCCCAGTGGCAATCAAGCAGAAGTCCCACCCCTCCCTTCAAAGGGACGTCTTCCTTCCCAAGAGCATCCTAGCTTCCATTGCCCTATATAGCCTTCATGCTATGAGGAAGGCCATGTGATGGGGTGGAAGAAGTACTGGACTCATAGTTCAATCTGGGTCCAGTCCAGGTTCCAACATTTCCTAGGTGTGTGACTGTGGGTTAGTCACATAAACCTCTCAGAGACTCAGTTTTCCCACGTGTAAAATGGTAATAATAATCATACTTGGACTACCCACTTTGTAAACTTTTAAGCATTAAGCATTATGTGGCTGTGCCTCCCTACCATTTCCTCTGGCCAAGACCTCCCCTACAATTTTTCATGTGTGTGTCCCGACCACCCCCTCTCCGCTGCTCACCAACTCCGATGCTGCCATAGCCAAGGTGTGGAGGCACGATGAGGCGTCTTCGTTCATTGACACACATTCCCATGAGCCCTCGGTCCATGCCAGTGATGAGCCGGCCCACACCCACCACACCTGCTACTGTCACTCTACGATCATAGCTGCAGAAGAGTGGATAGAGACAGGACTGAGTGACCCAGAATCATTGCAACCATGTTGCATAGTAGAAGGAATCATGAATTTGGAGTCAGTGGACTTGGGTTCAAATCTGGACTCCACTTTTTGTTAGCTGAATCAACTTTAGCAAGTCATTTAAACTTCTTGAGCCTCAGTTTCCTCATCTGTGAAATGGGGATAATCATACCTGTACTACCTATCTCCTAGGGGAAAGGTAAAGCATCCTCGAAATGTGAGCTATCAAAGCTATAAGTACACCCAGGTGAATATACACACATGCATTCACAAAGCATATTTCTAGATATATATATATGCCAATCTCCAACACAACATGCCTCTGAAAAAATGCATATAAAGATAGAGACGTACTACCCATTAATGAATTAATATTAGTACTACCCATTACTTAAGCTATGTGGCACATTAGACAGAATTCTGGGCCTGAACTTGAGTCCAAATCCCATATCAGACACTTACTAGCTGTGCGACCCTAACTTCTATCTGCCATAGTTTCTTTATCTGTTAAAGAGGGATAACAATAGCACCTGTCTTCCAAGATTGTGGTGAGAATCAAGTGAGATAATACTTCTAAAGTGCTTTGAAAACCTTAAATCATCATATAAATGCTGTTCCTGTTTGGTGACTCCTTGTGACCCCATTTGAGGTTTTCTTGGCAAAGATACTGGAGTGATTTGTCATTTCCTTCTCCAGCTCACTTGACAGATGAAGAGACTGAGGCAAACTGGGTTAAGTGACTTGTCCAGGGTCACACAGCTAGGAAGTGTCTGGGACCAGATTTGAACTCAGGTCTTCCTGACCCTAGGCCTGGTGCTCTGACCATTGAGCCATCTAGCTGCCTTATAAATGATAGCTATCATTATTTATTTTTTAATTTTTCACTTATGATCTCCTATGCTTGCATATACGTAACAAGTCTATAACTGGACACATCTATAGACACATATACACATAAATGGTGTCCCTTATGCAGGCTTGCACACTCCTGCAAACATGCCTTCTAAGTTTTCCCCCTCCCCAGCTGAATTATCATGCCCTGGATGACCCCTCCCCCATCAGGATTTGGCCTTTGTTTCAGAAATGGGAAATCTCTTTTATTTAGGGATTGAATGTCAAGCTGGGACTCTCCGTCTTCCTGGGTTTGGGACTTGGGGGTGAGGTCCAAGCCTGGTTTTGCCTACTTGGTTAGAAAGTAGCACAAAGGTTTTCTCCCAGGGGCTCTTGGGTCATCTGGAATAATGGCTGACTTAAAAGACTGCCTAGCAGAGCTATATCTAGTACCAATATGGCTTTGCTCCAGGACAGTAATATCCAGGGGCATACACTTTCTCCTCGTGTGGCTGCTATCTCCACGCTTCGTCTTGAGGTTCTTCATGAAGGCCTCTCTGGCTGCTCCAGACATCTTTTATGCCAATAATTCCTCCCCCCATAAAACAATCCTGTGTTTGCCTTATGTGAATACATTCCTACTTATCGCTCTCCTACCCAGCACTGCCTACCCCCTCTGCCACTTCTGCCACAGTTCCCCAAAGCATCTGAGCTGATGATTCCAAAGACCTTTGTGGTTTTACAAGGCACTTATTTTCCAAAGAGTTGGTGGCATTTGTTGGGGGAACTACCATGTTAGAGTGGAGCAGGAGGAGACCTAGAATCCTGGGTACATACCCTATCATCTTTGGATGCCAACCTCAGATCAGCACACTCTACTCCCTCTCCCCTAACCTCAGGTCTCCCTGGAGAAGACAACAAGTCAGATTCCAAATTTCTAGGTCTACAAGATGGACAGCCAAGGTTATGGCCTTTAAAATGGAGGGAAGTTGAGGGAGGAGGAGAGTGGTGGTAAGGAATCAGAGCAAAAGGCCTTGGAGAGGATGAGGAGTCCAGCAATGAGATGTCAGGGGACGCAGGAGAAATGTCTCTGATGGGTAACGATATTTTCTTTTCCCTCACTCCCAGATCAGTACCACTTCTTTCCACTTTTCCTGTATCTCTGCTTTACAAAATTCTTTCTTAGGCTCTGAATAAACTCTTCCCTCAGATAAATCCCAGCTCCTTTTCTGACATCAAAGACCTTCTAAACTGGTGGGGGGTGGCGAGGAGGAAAGGGAGCTAGTGTCAAAGTGAGATAGGGTCAATCAATCTGAAAGGGGGTCCCAGACCCCCCTCACATATATATTGTTGGTTTGCAGATGCAGTGGAGTATACCCCTGTGTACCCACACTCCACTTCTTTAAAAATATATATTCAGCATGCAAACAACATGCAAATCACAGGCAAACAAGCAATCGGCCAGTAAGTGTTGCTATCTCAGGCACTTTGGGGAGGATGGAGGGTGTATGAATGGAGGGATGGGAGGTGAAAGAATGGAGAACTCATGGAAGTGGGACAGTTGGTGGAGAACAGGATGTCTTTGGGTACAGGGGATTTGTGGGAGACCAAGTCTGTTTCAGGGTAAAAGAAGGTGAATCTCTGAGGTCAGGGAGGGGTTGTGCTCAGGAGATGGGGAGTGGTGGGTTTGGGGGTCCCCCACCCCATTACCTGGAATCAAACTTCTTGCCATCCTCAAAGGTGCCATTGTAGTGGTAGCGGATGAAGTCCCCCATCTGCACCTCTCGAGGACAGGCTCGGGGTACGTGGTACCTCTCAATGACCACATCTTCTAAGGGCCCTCCGCCCGGACTGGCCCGGCCCAGAGCTCTTCCCGAGGCCTGCAGCAGCAGGAGCAGGATGGGGAATAGGGGGAGGATGCGGATGAGGGAGCCCCAGGGGGACATGGTGCCTGGAGCTGGTTTGGCTGAGAGCGAGAGAGACCAAGCCGCCTTCTCCGCCTCCTCCTCCTCCAGCTTCTCCTTCGCCCAGCGCTGGCTCCCCCCCTTCCTGTCAGTGCAACCCCCCTTCCCCCAAAGCAGTCTACGTGGAATGGGGGCTGGGGAAGCTGAGCTGGCTGCGGGGGGAGCTCAGGGGGCGGTGGGGAGTTGGGGAAGAGGCCAGAGAAAGAAGCGCAGAGACCACTTTCCTAAGGGAGCTCTCCATCCCTCCTGCCGCCCCGCCCAGGTGGTAGGGTTTTTTTGGGGGGACAACATCCTGAGAGGGAGGGAAGGGGCTTTGGGGAAAGGAAAAAGTTGGAACAACTATTTAGGAAAACTTGCAGCTTCTTTTTCCAGCGCTGCCACTGGGTCCTAGCGCCCGGATGCGTGCTTTATCTTCCAGAAGGTCTCTCCCTCCTTCCCCAGATTGGGGCGGGGGGTGGGGGGAGTGGGATGTGTCCGGGTACTTAAAGAAACTACAGATCTTGAAGCTGATTCTTTTGAGTGAACCTTCCAATCACTCTTCCACACGATGCTAGGCTTCCCACCGGAAGCCAAGGGGATCTCAGAGTAGACAAAGTCCTCTGAGCACCATCCGCACTCCCAGCTCAGCCACTGGTCTCTAAGGTTAGACAGCTGGAAGGACTTTCCTGGTTCCCAGGACCCTGAGGCAGTGTAATGGGGTGGGGGTGGGAATATGGCCTGGGGTGTCTTCTCTACCGTGGAGACTTTTCGCCATATACTAGAGATTTTGGTGGAGGTGGGGCAGAAATAGGGATACAGATAGGGGAAACATTCATTAAGGACTATTTTGTGCCAGGCACTGTACTAAGCGAGTTACAAATATTATTTCATTTAATGAGGTGACCTAAAATCACAGGATCAAATAGTATTAGAATGTTCCTCCTGGACAGCCTGGTCATGAAAAGTATGACTAAGTGGATGGTGTACGTGGACAGACATTCCTCTTCTCCCTCAATTTCCTGATCATAAAGGGTGGAGGAGATGGAGGTCTCCACGTGTAGAAAGCCTGGGCCACTCCCTCTGCAACCCAAGAGCCCAGAGTTGGGGTGTCCTCCCTAAAGCCAGGCCTCTAGGCACTTAGGTTCTCACAGTAGAGTTAAAGATATTGGAAGGGAGTGCTGGGAATTTGGTGGGGTTTAGACCGTTCCTTCTTCCTCACTCCCCAAGGACAAATTCTTGAGTATGTTTCCCACATTTCCTCTCTGGGGAGTCTCCCACTAGGCAACTTTCTATTGCCATTCTGTTCTAAGCCCTAGTACCCCACCCCCTTAGTGAGACAGGCACTAAGACCCAGCTAGCTGCCCCTCTGCTCCTCCCTGACCAGTCCCCCAAATCCCCGCCCCTTTCCCCACCTCCCAACTTCTTCTGCAGCATCTGGAGGCCAGGGCCCTCAAGGAGCCTGTGGGACTCTGGGCTTAGGGCATGGGGCAAACGTGGGGGCTGCTGCTTCTTCTGGTGGCCAGTGTCTGGGCACAGTATGAGAAGTATAGTTTTCGGGGCTTCCCCCCTGAGGACCTAATGCCTTTAGGCTCAGCCTACGCCTATGCCCTGGAGCAGTATGAGGGAGAGAGCTGGAAGGAGAGTGCCCGCTACCTGGAGGCATCACTGAGGCTGCACAGGCTGCTTCAGGACAGTGAGGCCTTCTGCCATGCCAACTGTAGCAATACCAAACCCTCTGCGGAGCACTCCCCAGCCTGGGGGACCAAAGAAGAGCTGGAGGAAGAGTGGGGACGGGAGCTGTGGTTTTTTGGGCAGGTGTTGGAGCGGGCAGCCTGCCTGAAGCGGTGCAAACGGACCCTGCCAGCCTTCCAGGTGCCTTACCCTCCTCGACAGCTGCTCAAGGACTTCCAGAGTCGGCTGCCTTATCAGTATCTGCATTATGCCCTATTCAAGGTATGGGTCTTCCTTCCACTTCTCCCCATTTCCTGCCCCTGCCCACTCTCTCGATCCCTCTAACTTCTAGAATCTCTAGTTCTGAGTTTCTTGGCCTCCAGCCCCTACCTGTTTTTCACCAGTATTCTCCAGTCTTTGTGCCTCTTTTTACTATGGCAGCCTCTAATCATCTGCCCCCAGCATCCCCCCAACTTCTGTTTTCCTCCCTCTGCTTCGCCCGTCTAAAACTCCTATTACCTCAGTGTTTCACCATCCCTGCATCTCTCCCCCAATGTAGATTCAGTTCAAAACTAGAAAAAGATCAAATTAAAAATCCCCAATTGAGCACCAAATTGGAAATCCTAAAAATCAAAGATGAGATTAATAAGATTGAAAGCAAGAAAACTATTGAGCTAATAAATACATCTAGGAGCTGGTTTTATGAAAAAACCAATAACATAGATAAATCATTGGTTAACTTGATTAAAGAGAAGAAAGAAGGGGGTAGGGCAGCTAGGTGGTACAGTGAATAGAGCAACGGCTGTGGAGTCAGGAGGACCTGAGTTCAAATGTGACCTCAGACACATAACACACACTAGCTGAGTGACTCTGGGCAAGTCACTTAACCCCAATTGCCTCACCAAAAAAAAAAAAAGAAGAAGAAGAAAACCAAATATCCAGTATGAAAAATGAAAAGGGTGAAATCACCACCAGTGAAGAAGAAATTAAAGCAATAATTAGGAACTATTTTACCCAATTACATACCAATAAATCTGACAATTTGAATGAAATGGATGAATATTTACAAAAACATAAATTATCCAACGTAGATTCAATTCAATTCAGTAAGCATTTATTAAGTGCCTACTGCATGCCAGCTGTCAGGACTTGTGTCCTCCAGTGTCTCTCAGTCCCCTCTTCTCTTCCTTTAATATTCTCCTAATTCCTACTTCTCTTTTGCATTGATCCCTCTACCCTTGTTGCCCCCCAACCTTTGCCTCTCTTCCCCAGTATGCCCTCATCTTTCTTTCCCTATCACCCAGACTATTACAACAGCCTCCTAACTTGTCTCCCTACTTCAAGGAGTGCTCTGCCCCCACACAAGAACTAGAGTGATATTCCTAAATTCCATGTCTAATCCTGTCATCTCCCTCCCTCAGAAAGCTCCAGTGGCTCCCTATGGCCTCTAAGATAAAAATGTCAACTCTTAGGTTTGGCATTGAAAAGCTTTCAGCCACCTTTCTAGGCTTCTTACACCTTACTTCCCATTTTGGTTCAGCCAGTGATTTGTTGCTATTCCTGGTATAAACAACATTCCATCTTGCTTCACTGTGCCTTTTGCTGAGGCTGATCCCCATGCCTGGAATTCACTTCCTCCACATCCCCAATTTCTAGACTCACTAGCTCCGGTCAGCTCAAGCTCTACACCCCAGATGAGGCCTTTTCTTATCCCACAAGATACTTTGTTATGTGTACCTGTTGTTTCCCTCTAACAGAATGTAAACTTTTTAGGGCAGGGACAATTCTAGTTTTGTCTCTCTATCTCCAGGGCTTAGCATAGTACCTGATATATAACAGATGCTTATTAAATGTCTATGATTGATTGATTTCTTCCCCTGCCTTGTTCCTCTTCCCTAGGGTCCCCTAACTCCTGCCTCTGGCCCCCAGTTCCCTGCAGCCCAATCTTTGGCCCTTAGTTCACTTTGTCCCCACTCTGATCCCTTTATTCCCTGCCTCCCCCCCCCCCCCCCGCCCCCGCCAGTGTCCCGAAGCTCCATCTCCTGAGCCTAGAAGGGCTGGGATGAGATTTGTGTTCAAGGAATTACAAGAACCTCTCCTTCCTTATTCTTCCCCAAAATTTGAATGACCTCTCTATTCTGATGCTCTGTCCCCACCCCCCACCCCCTTCTATCTAGTCTAATCAGCTAGAGAAAGCAGTGGCTGCTGCCTACACCTTCCTGCAAAGAAACCCTAAGCATGAGATGACCACCAAGTATCTGAACTACTACAGGGGACTCCTGGATGTGGATGAGTACCTCACAGACCTGGAGGCCCACCCCTATGAGGTGGGAGCCTGTGGAGGGGGAGGGGGAAAGGACAGGGAGGGAATATGGAAAGTGGTTGATTCTGGTGGAGAAAAGGGAGGGACTGGGAGCCTCCCCACACCATTCCAAGGTTTGTCAAAAGGCTAGGGTTTGACTCCCCCACTTATCTCCTCTCCCAGGCAGTGTTTGTCCAGGCTGTGAAGCTCTACAATAGTGGCGATTTCCGAAGCAGTGTTGGGGATATGGAGAGAGCTCTTGCTGACTATCTCACTGTCTTTGCCAATTGCCTGGCTGGTTGTGAGGGGGCCCATGAGCTCTCAGACTTCAAGGACTTTTACCCAGCTATTGCAGGTACCTTGCTACTATCTCTTATTATCATTCTGCTCTTCTTCAGGTTCCCCCCGTTGAATCACCCCTGCGGACCCCAGTATCCCCAGTGAAGGGGACCCCTGGAAACTACCCCACCTTAGATCCTTGCTAAAAACCTTATCTTCACAGGAGATTCTCCTCACTAACCTCGACTTCTTGATTTCAATTCAGTAAACATTCAGTGACTACCTACTGTATGTAAGACATCTTGCTAGGTGCTAGGAATGCAGAGATCAAAATAAAAAAAAAAGACACAATACCTGCCTTGAGGAATTTATATTCTATTGGGGAGGAGAACAGAACATGTATACAGGTAAGAAAATGCAAAGTGTCATCCAGTGGCTCTATGACTTCGTCAATATAAGCACTCCCACAATAGGGGTTCTTAACCTGGGGTCTGTGAACTAGGTTTTTAAAACATTTTTAATATTTTATTTTTTCCCCAATTACATATAAAAACAGTTTTAATCCTTTGTTTTCAGCAATTTTGTTCCAAATTCTCTCCCATTCTCCCTCCCTTCCCTTATTGCTGAGAAGGTAGGCAATTTGGTAAAAGTTATATATATGCAGTCATGCAAAAAATATTTCAATATTAGTAATTTGTGAAAGAGAACACACACACATAAACAACAACAAAAAATACAAAGAAAGTAAAAAAAATACACGGTATGCTTCAATCTTCCTTCAAATTATATCAGTTCTTTCTCTGAAGATGGACAACATTTTTCATCATAGGTCCTTCAGAATTGAATTGGATCTTTGTATTTCTGGGAATAGCTAAGTTATTCACAGTTGATCATTATACAATATTGCTGTTACTGTGTACAATGCTCTCCTGGTTCTGTTCACTTCACTTTTCATCAGTTCATTTAAGTCTTTCCAGGTTTTTTGTGAGAGCATCTAGCTAATCATTTCTTGTAGCACAATAGTATTCCATTACAATCATATATCACAACTTGTTTAGCCATT